AAACCACCAGAATTGGGTCTTTTCATAAACATGTTATTACTGGTAACTTGGATATACTAAAATATAACTTTTTACGAAAAATTATGGAAAAAGGTCAAATATAGAATAGGTACAAAATGTATTAAAATAGTTATATTAAATTTCATAAAGAAAAACATAGATGATTATGTTCTCAAACTTAATCATTCTACACATTATCCTCCAAATTGGTTTCTAGAATGGAAATATTAAATAGTTAATAGAATTAAAGATAAATTAGCTTTTATTGATTAAAAAAATATCCAACAGGCTTAACATTTTTCAGTTTAAAACTAAAATCGGTAAAATACAAGAAAAATATATTATCGTGCATATCGATAAAGCAAACTGTAATTTGGTTTTACCTGTAAACGTTTTTTACGCACAACTTGAAACTAATGAAATAAATACTACACAAACATTTCAATTAAAAAATAACTCTAAAGATGCTATTATTAACAATTTGTTGAAAGCTATACAAAATTTTGATCTTAAAGCAAATCTATATTTAGAATTACAGTGTCTATATGCCGTTCCTAAACTATATAAATTTCCCATTAAATTTCGTTTTATTTCTAGATCAGTAAAAACTATATTAAAACAACCTACAGTTTTATTAAATAAATTACTGAATCAGTTATTGCTTAAAATACAACAAAACCGAAGTAGTACAAAATGATTTCTGGATAATTAAAAATAATGAACCTATCTTTAAAACATTAGAAAATTTAAATAAAAAACAATAGGGAGATACAAAACAAACTTATGACTTATCTACTTTACTTATAACTATACCACTTAACGATTTAGTAATGGCGATTAAACCATTTATAGATCTATCTATAAAGATAGAAAAACAAGCTTGCTAACAATTTCGAAAATATTTTCAGTTTTTGCATACATAATAACTATATTCATTTTGATAAACATATTTATAAACAAATGGTAGGCATACCAATGGGTTCTAATTGTTTGTTATTAAACACAAAGGGCTATCTGTGCTCTGCCCACCACGGGTATCGAAACCCGGTTTCTAGGGGTATAAGTCCTCAAACATACCGTTGTGCCACTGGGGCTTATGGGTACTAATTACTCAAGCAGTGTTGCTAATTTATATCTTTACTATTACGAAAATAAATTTATATATAATTTTTCAAATCCGGAATTGTTAGATTTAACTTATAGATACATTGATGATTTAATTAGCGTCAATAATCCATTAATCAGTAATTATGTCAGTAATATTTATCCTACAGTTCTACAAATCGAAACCACCTCTATATGAAATATCGAAGTACATTTTATATATTTAGATATTAAGATAATTAATAATCATTCTAATATTAATATTTATGACCACAGAAATGATTTTACATTTCAAATTTTTGGACTCATCTCGCCAAACAGTAATGTACCACATAATGCCATACAGTACATCATATATTCACAGCCACTCAGGTAATGTAGAATTTGTAACAATCAACAGTTTCTAATTTCCAATATAAATATATTAGTGAATAAACTGATTTTTAATGGATTTAATAACTCTAATTAAATATTTTAAATACTTTTGTAATAAGTATATAAAATATGTATTTTATTTTTAAAATGATAGTATAAACGAAATCATAATAAGCGTAATAAATGTTCTACATGATGTTGATAAACTGTGTCTACTGTTCTACATGATGTTGATAAACTGTGTCTACTGCTTTAGATTATGTTAATAAACTATGTGTACTATTCTACATGATGTTAATAAACTGTATCTATTCTACACGATGTTAATAAACTGTATCTATTCTACACGATGTTAATAAACCGTGTCTACTGTTCTACATGATGTTAATAAACCGTGTCTACTGTTCTACATGATGTTGATAAACCGTGTCTACTGTTCTACATGATGTTGATAAACCGTGTCTACTGTTCTACATGATGTTGATAAACCGTGTCTACTGTTCTACACGATGTTAATAAACCGTGTCTACTGTTCTACATGATGTTGATAAACAGTGTCTACTGTTCTACACGATGTTAATAAACCATGTCTGGTGAAAAAGAAAATAAATTTTTAACATCTGCATACAAATATGACTTCTGTTGGAAGTGTGTGTATTATTATTATTATATATTAATTGTTAAATATAAAGCCTATCTTTCTTTAATTTTCACTGCCTCATAAAGGACCTTAATGGTTCTCACACATATGAAACATTTTATGACAGGCGCATTATCTACTACTTTGTTGTTTATGGTGATTAGTTACACGGACGATTCTCCTGCTGCATTCGAAGATAAAAATTCTCAAGAAATTTTCACGAACCAATAACTATTTCTTCGTAGCGCCGACTCTACTAAATGTTTTTTTATGAAAACAATAATTGGCACATCAACTACAAAGTCCTTTAGAACGGAATGCTGAATGGGTAGTTTTTGTGGGTGTGAGTGCATACATAATACTTGTAAAGAGCACCTGTTTATAAGATTGTTTTAACTATTGTTGGTAATTCAGTTTCTAAGAATAAGAAAGAAAAAAAAACACGTGTGTGTGTATTATTAATAACAAAGCCACATAGGGCTATCTGCTGTGTCTACCGAGTGAAATCGAACACGATTTTGGCATTGTAACTTCCTAGACTTACCGCTGTCCCACCGGGGGACCAAACAATCGTGGATTCACATCGTATGTAAGGCATTAAAGATAGGATTAATCACTAATCAAAACACTTTTGTTTTACAACAATTCTTTTATTTTTAACAGCATTGTTAAAATACCAGCACAACAGAACAACTTTAAAATTGGATTTAGCACCTGTTAATAATCGAAACATATAAGCTTAATAATCACAGTGATATAATCAAACTGTAAACAAGAAGTCATGCTCCAGTTTCTTCAACTAGTTCTTCGGATGGAGACTAGTTTACCGCATGACCGCTAGGCGCTACTTTAAGAACATGAATATGATTGAAAGAATGTTTAGGAAAACTTTAATATACATGTTTTAAAACTGGACCAACTGAATCAGTTTTTATTTTAATTTATAGCAATGATATATCATAATAAATGCTTTGCTCTGATTTCACATATTCAATTAGCTCCACAACTGATATATATATGCAGTTAAATTGTTACTATACTGGTTCTTAAGGCCTTATAAATTCAACCAGGCTTATCTGCTGTTGGGATTTTGGATACTATTTTCTATCTCTTATACGACTTTGAAAATTCTTATTAAACATTTATATATATGTAATAAAAAATCACATCTATTAGCGTTTTCCATTCACCGGTCCCTACTTATTTAAATGGTTCGTCAAGAAATTATTTTTACCCCTAATAACTTCGCGAAATTTTGCTAAACATTTCTACTGATTATCCTGTATTTTAAAATAGAACTAACAAATAATTTTCCATGAACTCTTTGCGAAAATGCTAAAATAAACCTTCATATTACAAAGATATATCAAACAGACGTATATTACCAACAGGAGTTTTATATGACTGTCTTAATACTTTTAAATAACATATCGGTGACGCGTAAAATAAATAGCCTAAGGATTAATTTTTCATAAACTATTATAAAGCTCTAAACCCATATTATGAAAATATAAAAGTGACTTAATGCAAAAATTATGAATATATAATATACCGATGTTTGTAACTAAAGGGTTAAAGAGTGCATATAGCTTTCCCACGATTGTGTAAACATATCTAATGACTCACAAAAGCAGTAAAAATAACACAATGTACCACAAAACTACGATTGTTCATGCATTGTTGCTTACGAACTCTCCATGTATTAAAATAAACTTATTGTTTGCCTGCCTCATTATTGTGACCAAGAATCGTTCAAGCGTGAAGCATCTGGAAAAAGCTAGAAGCCGAAAGAAAATACTTTCCTGAAATTTATGGTGGTTTGTCTCGTTACATAATAATCCCTACTCTTCATTTAGTGCAACTGTCACCCAATATTTCTGGAAAATTTAGATAATTATATAACTAGAAATTATCGCCAAGTGACAAAGAATAAGATCTTTTTTATTCCAAGATGGAAACTATTGTTCTACCGGCGCAAGTTTTTTTTTTTTTAACAATTTAATAAAACAAAGCCAAACAGTAATATCTAAGAAACTAAATCACATCAAACTGCTCTCAAAACAACCTTTCGTTACAGGTCGTCGAAGTTACTCTTTACGTCCTGCAGCATGACTAACTAGTACAACAAACTAGCAAGTACACTTTGAATTAAGCATGAAGACTGGCACTAGGATGACTTTACTGCCGAGCGCTTGAACGAAATCAGTCTTAAGATATCAAAAATGTCGGTTAACAAAAAACCTTTCTTTCTGTACAAATAATTATAAACATCCGAAAATTTTTTATCTGCATATAGAAAACCTAATCACAGAACTCAAATTCATCACCCGACGTTTTGACTCTTAAGTTTTTATGCTTTGGTGCTTTTTTTTTCCACACCGGAGACGGATTCTGTCATGTCACAGTTACCCTATTTAGGGTACACTAAATACATATTCCTAGTTATGTTTCGTATCAAAGCTATCATCAAGTACCGCAACAGTAATAAGCTTATTTACCACCACGGGTTATTATTTTCTCACCTGTTTTAATCATTATTAGTTCACAACAACATACTGCATGTGTTCAAAGTAACAAAAATGTAAATATTATTCATGTAGAATAAGCCACATAAGAATACCCATGTCACTTTAAAAGTGCTCCTATCACCAGTGAATCATACCTACATACTTATTTACACTCCACTAGAACCATACATTACGTCACGACTCACGTGATGGTCTTACTTTTACCTTCCACTTGAACCAACTAAATTTAGCGTCTTTTGGCATAGAATGTCTCCGTTGGAGGTCGCTTCGGCTCTTATTCTCGCTTCCACGTTTACTTTTACGAAATTTACCCAAGGTTGCCAGAGGAGCAAGAGTGTCTGGTTCTTCCGAAATTACGTCAGACGTATCATCCACATGGTGTCTGTACCTGTTTACTCCACGCTTTTGGTACTTGCCTGGTTTGGAAGACAACACAGACCGGCTACGAACGACTCGAGCCACTGAACTGCGCTGTTCATTTTGATCTGCATGTTTTTCATAATGGCTAATTCCCGGAATGTACATGACCAGTGGCTTACGCCGTCTTGTTGAGTCACTGTCAGAACTAGACACTCCAGAAGCAGCTGATGACCCTGTTATATATCCGTAGTGACGATTTTTCCGTTCTCTGCTGTTTCCACTAATAGCTGTGCTGTTACTTCGTCGCACTCGAGCTTTCTGTTGAGATTGAGAAGTAGCAGTAAAACCTCTTCTGACGTCTGAAGAGTCACTCTGTACATAACGATCTGAATGAGTACCCCTGCATCTGTTATCACTAACATAGAACTGGTCATTCGGAAATTCAGAAAAGTCCTCCACATCTTGTTTTTTCATAAACAGATGAACCTTTTCATTTTGCTTTTCTCTTTCCTTTAGTTGTTGTTTGTTCAGAGTAAAAACACGTCTTTTCACATCATCTTTTTTCTCAACTCGAGACACAGAGCTGTTTGTGTCGTTTTCAACATAACAATTTGATTGATAGGAAACATCGCTTTGCGCCATCTCTCGACGATAGTCTTCTTCTGCCATCTTAGGACACAATCCTCCGCTAACGGAAACACTATTTATCTGTCTACCATTCTGGTAGGGCACATTTTCATAGCTAATTTCTTGCTTTTGGGGATTAAGCTCGCGAATTACCGATGAAGGAATAGCTCTATTCTTGTGGTAGCGGTTGGTAGCTTCACTTGACAAATCAGCCTCCTTGTTGTAACTGATATCAAAATGGCTACCTCTATAATTTTTCTCATACAATTTATGGTCTACGTTGTACCACTTTTTTTTATCATTCTTTTCCCAAACATGTGTCTTTCCTAGAAGGGTTTTATGCTTATTATGATTGTCTAAACCTAATGAATCATTTTTAGTTTTTAATTCATTCAAGGATCCTTCAGATGGGAGGGTGGCATAGTGGTGCAGTCTGTTAGATGGCATGTCAAAGAGGGAGCTTTCAGATCTAAACTTCTCACCTAATGTGTTATTCTTCTTTTCTTTTGCCTTCTTTCCCTTTTCTTTATTTACTTGGCTGTAGATAGCTTCACTATTTAAACAATTCATGAAGCCCGTATCCATTTCACGTTTATCGTGATTATTAATAATGTGATAATCTAAAATAGGAACATTACTGTAAGCGGAAACGAATCCATCCTTTGAACGGATTATTCTTGATTGATCTTCATCTTCACATGTAACAGAGGAATCCCTTAATATGGACGCCTTGCTACACTGAACACCTTTTTCTTCCGTGAGTTTACATGCGGGTTTTGAAATCTTCTGTTCTACAAGATTATCCAAAGACCAATCTCGGTCATCTTGCCTTTGGTGAATATTATCTGTGGACATACCTTTTGCTGTTGTGCTATACATATTGTTATCATAATCTGTAAGTAGATCATCACAAGACTTGGCTCGTCGGTTATTAGAAGAATGTTTATCATCATTACTTTCTTCCCACCCATGCTCTCCCAAAATGTGATCACTCTCGTCAAAAGTCTGAAAGCGTTTGTCATTCTGGTAGATAGAATTCGTCATAAATGTGTTATGTGGCGCTATTCTATCACTGTTCTTCCATGTATCTGAATTCAAACTAGATAAAGATGGGCCTCTCAAGATCTCAGCACTTCTAGCTGCTCTCATAATATTGATATTGTTTTCAATAGGTTGAATTTCAATAGAAGAATCATTTTCATCGAACGACCTCCAAGATGATGATGAATTTTTTCTCAAACGACCAAAAGACCTTTCTTGGAGATCACCATTCATTATATGATCATCAATCATAAAAGGGCCTTTTGGGTTAGTCGAGACCACTTCACTTGGAACACACTGTTCTCTGTAATTACGTACTGTGTTTTCTTGGTTTTTTGAATTAACTAGATTTTTAGTGTCCTTCTTTTTTAAATGTGTCATTCCAAATATTACTTTGACGCCATTGAAGATTTTGTTTTTCTTAGGTTTATTTTCTCGAATATTTTTTGTATTAACTTCTAAATGATCTGCTGGAGTTTTAAAAGACTCAACAGACACTCTATTATTCTTTGTCTCTGAATCCTTTGTTGTTTCAGGTTGGTCTTTTGTATTTTCATGTGGATAAAATGCCTCTTTATTAAATATTTTTACAATATTTTTAACATGATCCTTTTTCACTCGTGGGGCCTCAGATAAAACTTTGCTAGAGAATCTGTCATCTCCCTTAGCTCTACTGTCACGTCCTGAACTGAAGCTTGTACCTATCGATATTTTGTCGTCGGTTTCATTCGTGGTATCTTTAGGTCTGACAACAGACGTTAGACTGTCCTTGTTGAAGCCATTACGTTTATTATCCGAGTTAGACGTGGAGTAATCGTACTCCTTTTTGACCTGTTCCATATTTGGCTCATGATGATGGCGATTTTTATACACTTTAAACCAAAATCTCTTTTCAGGACTAACTTCATTGGGAACGTGGTTGCCGTTTGGTTTGTCTCCATTCATGTAGGTTTCAGTCCTACGAGGGTACTTCTTAACCCTAACAGCTTTATTAAAACTCACCTTTTTTGCTGATGCTCGGGAATCGCTGCTCGCGTCAGAATCGGAACGTGTCGAGTCCGATCGATGAACTTTTGAACTAATAGCAAATATGCTACCAGGCATTTTTTTAATTTTTTTTCTACTCTTCGGGCTTGGTGATACTTACAATAAATATTAAACCAAAGAAAATGAAGCAAAGTTCACAGTAAATTAGAGTCCACAACAATTCTCTTTCAATTATTTCTTATCTTCTCATCTCTATAACAAAGAGAATTCACAGACCTAGTTTCATTACGTCGACAAGTGGATCTTCTGTCACGGATTCGATGCGACATGGAACGTTCTGTAAAAAAAAATTACAAATTAAATATTATTTCGAGAAAAAACGCCTAATAGTAATATTAGGCACATATTAACTTAAAACGTGGGATAGGTCTCTATCATTTCAAGATTGTATATTACTAAAGGTTAAAGTTCAGAGAAAGTACTAGCATGAATATAATATTTACTGTGTAACCGAACTCGTTTTCGACTTTCTGTATGAATTTCACATGACAACATTAAATTTGTCGCAATTTAAATATTAACCTACAAATGAATAAAGAAAAAGACAACACGTTGTGCTTCTACCTTTGTTTAAAAACAACGAATCTCTTAAGTTTAACATCTTTGTTTGTGTTTAAGTACAAAGCTACACAATGGGCTATTCACATCGCAGGTATTAAAACCCGATTTTTAGCGTTGTAAGTCCACAAACTTACCGCTGAGCCACCGGATGGTTAAGTTTAACGTGTAATATACGATAATACCAATTATTATTAAAATTAAAACTTTTGCTTGGTTTTCTGGGATTGTGAGTTTTCTGTCTTAAAAAACGGACCGGGTGTTAGCTAGCGGTTAGGTGCCCGGACTGTGAATCCCACGTCTCGTGGTACACGGCCACAAGACTTAATAACGAGTGCTGTTGACTGGTTGCCTTCTATCTATTTTAGCTATCAAAATTAGAAACGACTAAGCGCCGATAACCAATCTGAGTAGCTTTGTGCGAAAATATTAAAGAACGAAAACAAAACTGTCCCAAAAACAAATACATGGAAACCTAAAGATACCCTTATCAACACTAGCCTCTCAAGCAAAGAGTAGGATTTGTTCCGGATACTCGCTACACAAGGAAGGGCGCTCGACTTGCAATCTGAGGGTCGCGGGTTCGAATCCCCGTCCCGCCAAACATACTCGCCCTTTTAGTCGTGGGGGCATTATAATGTTTCGGTTAATCCCACTATTCGTTGGTAAAAGAGTAGCCCAAGAGTTAGCTGTGGGTAGTGATGACTGCTAAATTAGGGACGGCTAGTGTAGATAACCCTCGTGTGGCTTTGCGCGAAATTCAAAAACAATTATTTGAAGAATAGGATTTCTGCTTATAGCATGCACATAATGGCTTTCATTCAAGTAAAATGTTTTTGACATATTAGCCTTAAGATCCACGAGGGAGCTGGCCACTGATCCGAGAATCTCAGCATTTATTTGGTTTCAAACACAAATAATTTATTTTGACTTTCTTTGCTATTTCCTCTTCCTTGCGTTATTATGTCTACCAATTCCTGAAATATGAAAGAAATGCCTGCTAATAAGCACGACAAACCTGATCTTTAGCTATTAATTATAGCAACCTTTTATAAGGTTAATAATGCCACAAAGTAACGTTCGCCATACATCTTTAGGGGAAGAAATCTGAAACATATTGCAGAGACTGTATCAACTTCAGTAGAGAAGCAGTATTAGCATTATGTTGGTATTTAAGCCGTTAACCTAAAGGAAGAACAAAGAAAGAAGGGATATAGATAGCCCCCAGTGGCACAGCGGTGTATCTGTGGACTTACAATATCGAGATTTAATACCCGTGGTGGGCAGAACACAGATAGCCCATTGTGCAGCTTTGCGCTTAAATTCAAACAAAGAAAGGTCATAGATATTCACCGACCAGTCCCATTACGAATGGAAGGGTTAGTATAAAATCCGTATTAAATATATGGTTATCTTTTTTCAGGATCAGGCTTTATAACTTTAACACATTTTTTCTTAAATCTCAAACAAGAAGCTTTTCCTGATTATGTGAACACAAAATGTTCAGCCTGTTGATTCGCATAACAAGATACTACGATAATGGTTGGAGACGGCTTGAATGGGTAATGAAGAAAACTTTAATATAAGTTTAACATAACAGCAAATGTACAACGTTTCGACAAGGTTTTGTCATCATCAGGTACCCATTCAAGCTGTCTTCAACCATTATTAGTCTCAAAGTGGGTTCCTCGTTATCGAAAAAGATACAACGATGTTTAAAATACCTTTTTGTTTTGGTAGTCAGTTTCGTACTATTATCAATTAATTATGTAAAATATTCATTAATTTGTTAATATATTTCTCTGCGTTTAGTGAAGGCAAACTGCATTTAAATTTTTTCTAAGTAAGATACGCCTCCCAGTGGCACAGCGGTATGTCTGCGGACTTACAACGCTAGAATACGGGTTTCGATACCCGTGGCGGACAGAGCACAGATAGCCTATTGTGTAGCTTTTCGCTTAATTACAAACAAACTAAGTACGATAGAAGAGCTGATATTTATATGATGTCATTTGTAGAAATTATTTTATAGAAGATATTAGATACACAATTTTTGATAAATATTATGAACTGATTAATTAGTTTACCATACATGTGCTGAAAGCTGTCAGGAAAATTAATACATACTCATACTTGAGGTGTTAAAGCTACACTTTTCAAATGATTAGATACGAGCATAGATATATTCATTCTGACAGACTATACATTTGTTAAAACATGTACAGAATTATTAAAACTGAACAGTTTACTATAAAGAACGTCGATACTATAATAATAGGTAAGCAGTCTCTTTCGACATAAATACATTAAGGTTCTGGATGTAATTCAAAAAGAATTCCGTGCATTTTAATTTATTCGCTATATAAGAATATTGTGGAGACAAGAGATTCCTACAATTTCTTTATTTAGGAGCCCACTTAACTTACAACCTCTTGATTAAGAACTACTACTTAATTACTCCACCAAAATGAAGTAATGAAACTTTCACCGAAAATAACACTTTAAAATGGTGAAATAAGATAAATTAAGAAACAATGCCAGTGTTGTTGTACGTGTTATGTTCCTTGTAACAATATCGAGGGTCTTCCAGGGTCCCAGGACTTCAGTTTAGGAACCTCTATTCTAGATTATTTGATTGAGACAAAATATAGTGGACTCAGAATAATGCACGTATATAAATTACATTAACACAATATAGATGTGATAAGCATCAGTTACCGTCATTTTCTGGTATCTATATGGTTAAGTAGAATTATAAAATTTTTTTTGGGGGGTATATTCAGTGTCATTACACTGCACATTGTTAGCATAGGCTTCAATATTTTTCATTTCCTTATATATATATACTGTAGCTCAGTGTGCTGAATTAAATATTATATGCGAAAACGAAAGACCTAAGTACAAAAGAAACAACTCTCGCTACAGTTGTTCCCATGGGCTTCATAACTGAGTTGAATAAAAAGTAATATTTCATCCTTCTGTGCAGTTAGTTTTCAACTCATCCGTGTTTTAATTAATAAATAAAAAGTACAAAATGTTCTTTATGGTGCTAAAGTAGAGAAGTTATTTAAAGTAAAGATTATGCTTCGAGACAGATGTAAGAGACTATCATTTTCTTATGTCATGCAATATCAAATATCTCAGTCTAGGCTAATTTTACAAAAAAATCTATTACCGAGAAAAAACTATAATTATAACAGTTACCAGTAAAATAACAAAGAAAAGCTACATTAAATTATATTTTCGAAAGGCATAAAGAATTTATGTTTTATATATCACACAATTGAGCATATACTCCACAGTAACTTAAATATAATAAATAAAGATAACACACAATTTTATGAATAAATACTTAAGCAACGTTGGGGAGTTTAGAATCTATACAAAGTTATCCTTTCTACGGATTAGACTACATCTCTGTAAAAGCTCCGCCCAAGAAAATATCTAAACATTACCTAATTTAATTGCTAAAGTTGGTCTCAAATGCCTAAAATGACATTTAAATAAATTATATTAAGTAATTAAAATAAGAAATGATATTAGTATTTACTATGTAGGCATGGCCTGGTGGTTAGGGTACTTAATTCATAAACTAAGGGTTGCGGGTTCAAATCACACCACTACACATGTCGCCCTTTCAGTCATAGTTGTGTTATAATGTGACGGTCAATCCCACTATCGTTGGTAAAAGACTAGCCAAAGAGTTGGCTTCAACATAAGGAACAGGTAACCCTCGAGAAGTTTGCGCAAAATTCAACAAACGAACTTTACTTTATCACGAACAATCCCATTATATACAAACAAAAATATAAATATTTTAAAAGTAAAACTTTCGAACCATCTATTTTTTTATTCGTAAATCAGCTTATTGAAAATTAGTTAACTCTTTTTCTGTAAAACTTCGATATATTGACAATTTTGCCAATATAATGCTGCTACATACTAGAAAATAACAATGTTTCAATAATAATAGTCAACACTTAAATTAATACAGATATAAATGAATTCAAACAAGCAGGTAACTTTTTGTTTCACAATGCATTTGTGATTTTCACAAATATCTTGTTGTATAAAAGACAGCTGTTAATGTTAATGAGCAGCCATGTCAATTTAAAGGTAACGATTTATATTAATCTAAAGTGTAATTTTCTTTATCTTATTGTGAAGGAACTGCACACGAGACACGCATGTTAACAACTAATTATATACGTTTGTCTATTTGTGTGTGTGTGTGCATAGAGAGGGAGAGAGAAAACGATATATTACTCTAAACTACACTTACATCCAATGTTGGTCAGTGATAAGTTTGCAAACTTACAACAATAAAATCCGGTTCGATTCCCTTCACATAACATAGCTTGATGTACAGCTTTGCGCGAAAACAACATCTTAAAACCAACCAGTAAGCTATTAAAACCACAACGCAAGCGGTTCACAAGTGTTTGTAATGTAGAATTGTGAATAAACCAGACTTAACTTGCAATAAAGATATTGACAGCTACTTCACAACATTTTATTGATAACACACTAACAATGCAAGAATCGCTGTGGAAAAAAATATATTCATCATTTACAGTTGGTATATTTTATACTGAAGAAAATCACAAGACAAATTAATTAAACAATGACACGAAAATTTCTGACCATAAACTAAATTTGCTTCAGAGTATATTACAATTTTACCTACACCAGAACATCTCAAATGTTACTTCGCCTATA